GAAGGGGCTCAGCCCAGCCGGCGTCGGGGCCAAAATGGAGATGCCCAGCTCTGCCCTTCTCCTGGAGGCACTGCTGATGCCCCAACACGCAGGGGAGGGGAGGGGCTCGAAGGGGCGGCGCTGTGCCCCGAGCCGGGTGGTGTTGGGGTCTGTGCGGTCCCGATCCCCCTGCCCTGACCGCGTGCCCTCCACCCCCTCACTGCCCCAGAAGCCCCCAGCGATGGCCCACACTCACTGGCCACCAAGGTTAGTTGTGTCGCCATTAAGCCGTTTTACAGATGGGGAGCCCGAGGCCCAGGGAGCTCCTATCACCACTGGCGTTGCTGACGCTTATTGGGCACCAGCTGTGTGCCAGGCCTTCACCCCATCCTACAGGCCTGGTCTGTGGGACCTGGGTCTGTTTATTTGTTTTTCATAATTTATTGCAGTGAAATTCACATAACATAAAATTCACTCTTTTAAAGGGAACAATTCAGTGGTTTTTAGTGTATTTCACTAGGTTGTGCAACCCTCACCGCTTTCCATCACCCCCAAAAGAAGCTCCGTCCCCATCGGCAGTCACCTCTCCTCCCCCTCCCCCAGCCCCTGACAACCACTAATCACTAACTCTCTGTGTCTGTGGATCGGCCTGCTCTGGACGTTTCCCATCAAAGGAATCACACCCTGTGTGTCCTTCTGTGTCCGGCTTCTCTCACTGAGCATCGTGTTCTCAGGGTCCATCCACGCTGTAGTGAGTGTCAGTGCTTCACACTTTTTCACGGCTGAGTGATGTTCCCGGGTGTGGAGGGATGTATATCCATCGTCCGTCGATGGTCTCTGGGTTGGTTCCACCCTGGCTAATGTGAATCACGTCGCTGTGGACATTTGTGTACATGTTTTGTTTGAACATTGATTTTCAATGCTATGGATTTGTACCCAGGAGTGGGATTGGGGGTTCACAATGGGCCCTGCTTTATAGAAGGGGAAACTGAGGCCCAGAGAGGAATGTCAGCGGCTCAGGAGCCCAGAATGGTCTCAGGGGTCCCACCTGCTGATTGTTCAGATGGGGAAACTGAGGCCCTAGGGTGTTGGGGTCCAAGAGCATATGGTCTCAGCTTGGAGCCCCCAACACTGGCCCCCTCAAGAAAGGAGTGTTTTTCCTTTTTCAGGAGAGAAGAGGAAAAAGAGGCAGAGACACAGAGGCTGAGCCTCTCCCGCCCTCCTTCCCTCAATCCTGGGTGGGTCGGCTCGGGTCCGCTTGCCCCCTCACCCCGCCCCAGCCCGCGTTCCCGGCGAGGCCGTTGCCTGTTGCACCAGCCACAGTTGGAGCGGGAAGGGGCCGAGGCCACAGCTTCCAGCCCCACTTCCCCTCCACCTGCTGGCCCGACCCCCAGAGGCCCCCGATGGTTCCCTCCCTCCCAGTTACAACCCCCAGGGCTCCCGGTGGCCCCAGCTCCCCACCCAGTCCCATGCCTTCCTAAGCCTCTGCCTTCAGGCAGCCCCCCAGCCCTGCACTCACCTGCCTGCCCCCACCCCAGGCCTGGAGCAGAGAGGAGGACCCCGGGCCATCCCCCTGTCTTGTCTGATGCTGTGACTCCCCTCCCCCCCACGCCCCACCCCACCCACCGGGAGGCTCCCTGGGGAGTGAGAGCTTTCGGCCAGGACCCCGTGGGCAGTTACCTAGCAAGGTTGTGTGTGTGTGTTTCTTTTTCTTTTTCAGTTAAAGCTTTATCGAAATGTACTTCTCCTACCATACAACCCACCAGCTTAACAATTCAGCGGCGTTTAGTACAGTCACGGGGTTGTGCAACCACCACCTCTAATTCCAGAACATTCTCACCACCCTGAAAAGAAGCCCTGTCCCCATGAGCACTCACCCTCATGCTCTCCCCCAGCCCCTGACAACCAGGAACCCTCTGCCTGTTCTGGACGTTTCCCATCAATGGAATCACACCCTGTGTGTCCTTCTGTGTCTGGCTTCTCTCACTGAGCATTGTGTTCTCAGGGTCCATCCACACTGTAGCGAGTGTCAGTGTCTCTCTCCTTTTCAGGGCTGAGTGATGCTCCCCTGTGTGTATCCCCTTTCATCAAGCTCTTAACTGTATTAGGGAAGTCAGCCCCTGAGGTGGGGTTGTTCTCATGACTCCCCATCATTAACAGATGGGGAAACCGAGGCCCAGAGAGGTGGCGTTTCTAGCCCAGAATCACAAAGCACAGCAGAATGTGAACCAAGGCGAGGGACTCCAGACCCTGGGGTGTACCCGCCCCGCGTCTGCCCCCAGAAGAGCCTGGATCTGAGAGAGGCACGTGCTGACCCGGCCCAGCCGCTGAGAGGATGGGCTGAGACGGGGAGAAGCACAGCAGAAAAAGGAAGGGAGTGGTGGGGTGGCAGCGACAGGGCTGGCACCTGTGCTCACCTCACTTCACTGCGCGCCCACACACTCCAATACTCTAACTTATCCAATCCTCCTGCTGTCGCCCTGGGGGAGGGACTATTACTATGATCACCCCATTGTACACGTGGGGAAACCGAGGCACCAAGCAGCCTGCCCCGCTGGACCGGACAGTGCCAGTCCGAAGAGATGTTCTTGTCAAACGAGAAGAACCAGTTCTGAAAGCAAAAGGCACAGCAGCCCCGGGTTTCTGTGGAGACATGTCAGGGCCACACCCAGGGCTGCAGAGTCCCAGACACCCGGCGGCCTTTCCCGAGTGACTGGGCTGATGTGTGACTTAAAAACACTTCGGCAATACAGATGGTCAACAGGCACATGAAAAGATCACTAGTGATTAGAGAAGAGGAAATCAAAAATACAATGAGGTGTGAATTCTGACCTCACATGGGTCAGAATGGCCACCATCAAAAAGTCTACAAATTACAAACGCTGGAGAGGGTGTGGAGAAAAGGGAACCCTCTTACACTGTTGGTGGGAATGTAAGTTGGTGCAGCCATTAAGGAAAACAGTATGGAGGTTCCTCAAAAAACTAAAAATAGAGTTGCCATATGACCCAGCAATCCCACTCCTGGGCACATACCCAGACAAAACTATAATTTGAGAAGATACATGCACCCCTGTGTTCATAGCAGCACTATTTATAATAGCCAAGACATGGAAACAACCTAAATTCTGATCAACAGATGAATGGATAAAGAAGATGTGGTCCATATATACAATGGAATACGACTCAGCCATAAAAAAGAAATGAAATCATGCCATTTGCAGCAACATGGATGGACCTAGAGATGACCATACTAAGTGAAGTGAGTCAGAAAGAGAAAGACAGATACCATGTGATATCACTTATATGTGAAATCTCAAATATGACACAAATGAACCTATCTTCGAAACAGAAACAGACTCATGGACATAGAGAACAGAGTTATGGTTGCCAAGGGGGAGAGGGGTGGGGGAGGGATGGATGGACTGCGAGTTTGTGGTTAGCAGATGCAAACTATTATACATAGGATGGATAAACAGCAAGGTCCTACTGTAGAGCACAGGGAACTCGATTCACTATCCTGGGATAAACCATAATGGAAAAGAATATGGAAAAGAATATAAAAAATAAATTAATTTGAAAAAAAAGAGCCGGGGCGGGGGAAAGAAAAGAATATATATATATATATGTATAACTGAGTCACCTCGCCGTTTAGTAGAAATTAACACAACATTGTAAATCAACTCTACTTCAATAAAATTTAAAAGATAAAAAATAAAAACGCATCGGCAGAGGGGCAGCCACCCGCAGGGCGGGAAGCAGTGAGGCACGCAGGCTGCTCCAGGAGTCCTTTGTGGGCAAAACTCAGAGCAGGTGTTTCTGCCTCAGAGACGTTCATTCATTCCAAAGGGGAAAGTGTGACTCGGTGGGAGGGACACGCAGGCGCCTCAGAGATGATGCCCCACATCCTGGGGACCATCGATCGGTATGCAGACCCCATCTCCGTGTGGGGACCCCGCACAAGCCCATTCGGAGGGACGTTCCCCCAAAAACCCACCAGGTTGCCACCAAGGACACGGTATGAGGGCCAGGAGAGGCTGAGGGGCTGCCCCAGAGCCCAGGAGACTCGGGGAGGCGGGGTGGGGGATCCTGGACCAGAGACTGGCTGATTGTGAAATCCAGGCGGCCTGTGAGGGGCAAACTTTGTGCAAGACGTGGCCCCGGGGAAGCTGGGGCAGCACATCCGGGAATTCTGCGGACTGCTGTAAGCGTGAAATGCTTTCAAAATGAAAAGCTTAAAAACTTTTTTTTGGCCCCCAAATTCCGTGAGCTCCTCTATCTATGCTTCTGTAGGTTTAAATTTTTCATAATAATGAGTCAGTTATAAATAGATACATAAATAAATGTCTCCCGGCACCAGAGTCTCCCCCTGCCCCCTCCCGTGTGGGGCAGCATCCCTGGTCCCAGCCACTGCATGCCAGGAGCCCCCCAGTCGTGACGACCACAGGTGTCCCCAGATATCTCCAGGTGTCCCTGGGGGAGGAATCGCCCCAGGTGAGAGCTCTGCCTTAGAGGGAAGAGTGACTCCCCCAGACAAAGTGAGGGCAGAGAGATGATCCTGTGGGTCTCAGGAGGCACAGGGCTCTGAGACCCTCACCCCCTTTCCTGTCCTGCTGAGTGGGATTCATCCCACCCCTGCACACGTCGGTCACATCTCACCTTGCTGGGGCTACAGGGACCCTCTGGGGGCAGGCAGTGCCCCCTTGGAGGTGTGGAAGCTGGGGTGCATGTCACTGTGAGGGCTGTGGCCACAAGCCCCCTTGTCCAGAGGACTTCCGGCATGGGGTGGGTGGGAGCCACCTTCCTGCATCTCTTGAGGACCCCGAGCCTGAGCCTGAAGCCCCTGCAGGCTTCCTGGGGTGCAGCTTTGACCCCCAAGCTCCCGAGCCCTCAAGCTGGAAGGAGGAAGTGGGGACGCCCAGCCCAGGTGTGGGGCAACCCTAATAGCCTCCCTGAATTGGGGCTATAAGAGGGGGCGGGCAGGCAGGGGGCATGGCCCAACCATAACCCGAAGCTGCAGACCCTCCAGCCCTGCCCTTGCCCCGGTGCTCCCGGCTGTGCTGCTGGGCGGTGAGTGGGGCCCAAGTCCGTCCGTCCGTCCATCTGCCTGTCCCATGCCCTCACGGCTCAGATGGGGAAAGTGAAGCGGGACCCAGCTCAGCTGGCTGCTTGGAATGAATGCCTCAAGGGGAGGGGAGGAGAGAAAGGGGGGGCCTGGGATACGTAGCTCTCTTTCCCCATCTGTAAAATGGGCAAAACCTAGTCCTTCCTGCCCAGGGAGGTGTCCTAGGGACTCAATATAACCAGAATCCCTGGACAGCACCTGGCACCCAGCAAGCACTCAGTAAGAGTGCACGCACGAACGAATGTGTCACCGAGTGAATGACGCACATGTCAGAGGAAAAGCCGGAGTGAGGGAACCCCTCCGCCCTCATCCTGATGAGGCTTTTTCATGCCTCAGTTTGTCCATCTGCAAGATGGGTCATCTTGCCAGCTTCTTCCCCCTACTGACCTCCAGGACTGGGCGCCGCTGCTTCCTGGGAGCCTTCAGAAATAATAATGATAATGACCACCGGGCTCTCCCCAGCGCTAACTGTCCCTGGCCCGGGCCTCTTCCCTCCACAGCCCCCAGCTGCCCTGTGCTGCTATGGGACCTCCAATTTGCACATGGGGAAACGGAGGCTCTGAGGGGTCCCGGGGCTGGTGGAGGCCACACAGCGGCTCTGCTCTCGTCCCCCGACCCCCGTCTGGGCTCCCTGGGCGGGGGATGGGGCGGTGGGGTGGGGTCGGTCCCCCGTCCAGGGAGCCGCGGAGGGCGTTAGGCAAGGCGACGGCCGCTGACCCCGGCGTCCCCAGGTGTAGCCCGGGCCGCGGAGATAGTGGGCGGGCGGGAAGCCCAGCCCCACTCGCGCCCCTACATGGCGTCGCTGCAGCTGTTCCCCAGCAACCACTTCTGCGGGGGGACCTTGATCCACCCGCGCTTCGTGCTGACCGCAGCCCACTGCCTGAACAACGTGTGAGTGAGTGCGCCTGCGCGGTGCGGGCCTGCCCGGGGAGGGGGTGGTGCTCCGAGGGAGGGGGCGTGGCGCTGCCCCGGGGGTCCGAGGGGGCGAGGCGCGGCCTGCCTCCGCTTGCCTGGTCTCAGCCCCTCCGGTCCATCTGCCCAACCCTCTCATCCCAAACTAGACAGGCACCTGCCCTGCTCCCCAGTCCGACGTGACCCCCTGAAGCCCCAGGAGGATTAGCTCAAGCCAGGGGTCCAACCCTTGGGGGCAAGATGCAGACGCGGGGGGGGGGGCGTCTCCTGGGACGGCGGGCAGTCCCTGAGGGGCTGCACCCTGGGCCTCAGGACGGGGGTGGGGGGCACGTGGGGGGGTCGGGGTCCCAGCGAGGCGCACAGCCTGCAGACCTCCGAGCCCACCGAGCAGAGGTTTAGCGTCAGCCGCCTGTTTGAGAACAACTACGACCCACAGGAGAAGCTGAATGACGTCCTCCTCCTGCAGGTGGGTGCGCGGGGCCAGCAGGGCCCAGGGACCCCTGTTCATTCATTTTCCAGCACCTACTGTACGGAGCCCCGGCGGGCGTGGGACACGGCCTGGTGGGGAGAGAGCCGGTCACCACCTTCTGAGCAAGCGGGATGCCCCCACGCCCCGCCCCCAGCCTTCGCCCAGCTATGTCCCCTCCCTGCTGCCTGCGCTGTTCCCAGATACCCTCAGCCTTGGCACCAGCCTCCCCTCCTCAGGGAAGCCTCCCCTCACCCTACTTGAGTGACAGCCACCCCTCCCCCGATACAGTGTTCATCAGTGTACTGGGCTATGTTTCCCTTGACTCTGCCGCCTGCCGTTCTCTTCTTGGCCCCTCCCAGCCCCAAAGATCAGCTCCCGGAAGGCAGAGGTAGGATCCCCAGGGCTTAGCCCAGGATCAAGCATACAGCTGGTGCTCAATAAGTGCTTCGTAAGTGAATGAACGCAACAGTGACCAATGCTGCAAAGGGGAGTCTCATGGCCTCGGGGAATGTGAAACTGAGCCCTGGCAGGTTTGGAGGGTGATCAGGGCAGCCTCCCTGGAGGAGGTGACCCCTGAGGTAGAGCCAGGCGGAGGGAACAGCATGTGCAAAGGCCTGGAGGAGGCACTTTGAGATAATCGTCCACGGGTGGCTGCGGGTCCTGGAGACTCACTGCCCACCAACCGCCCTCTGTCCCAGCTGGACCGCCCGGCCACCCTCAACCCCCAGGTTGCAGTGGCCCAGCTCCCCCAGCAGAACCAGCTGCTGCCCCACGGCACCCAGTGCCTGGCCACGGGCTGGGGCCGCCTGGGCACCTGAGCCGCTGCCCCAGGTCCTGCAGGAGCTCAGCGTCACCGTGGTCGCTTTCCTGTGCAGGCCACAGAACGTGTGCACCTTTGTGCCCCGACACAGGGCTGGCATCTGTTTTGTATGTACTGGGGGCTGCAGCTCGGTGGCTGCAGGGACAGCCAGGAGAGGGAGGGAGGGCAGGCAGGCGGGTGCCTCCGTCACACCATCTGGAAGGTGGGCACACCCATCGTGAGGGGGTAACGGGGCCTTCATGGGTCTGGGGGCTTTTCCACCCCGCAGCTCCCCCTTGGGTGGGTGCCCCAGCCCTGCTCCTGGGGCCACACCCAGAATTCTGGGGTCCAGGCATATAGCAGGGGGCCAATAAATGCCCGCTCTCCTCCAGAAGGGCCTCCCCTCCCTGTCTCACCCACATACTTTAAAGAAAATTCTAGACTGGAAACGTTTCACCCCTACGTGGCCCCTTCCCCTGAGGTAGCCTCGTCTGCCTGCTGGCCTGGCCTGAGTGACTGACCGACCTGCCCCCTCCCCAGGGGGACTCAGGTGGCCCCTTGATCTGCGATGGTGTCATCCAGGGCATGGACTCCTTTGTGATCCAGGGATGCGCCACCCGCCAGTACCCTGACTTCTTTGCTCGCGTCTCCCTCTACATAGACTGGATCCGCTCAGTGCTGAGCAACGCGGGGGGCGAGGACGGCCCCTGAGCCCCCCCCCCGCCACCGGGCACTGAGGCCATGCTGTGGAGAGACGCGGCGGGTCTGCTTCTGCGCCCGTGCCCCCCTTCCTGCGCCCCCGGCTCTTGGGAGCCAGGCAGACCCACGGTGCATCAATAAAAGCTGAACCGTCCCCCTGGCTCCTGTGTGTCCTTCCCACAGGGAGATGTGGGGGAGAGTGGCCCAGGGTCCTCAGCGTCCGAGTCCCCAAACCCCGAGCTCGGGGTGGGGGTGGGAACAGAGGCCTGGAAGTCGGAGGAGGGCGCAGGTCACAGCGGATCCCACTCCCCAGATGCCCGCAGACGTGGGTTCTAACCCAGCCCCGCCAGTGTGACCCGGGGCAAGTTACCGCCCCTCTCTGTGCCTCAGTTTCCTCATCTGGAAAACGGAGTCACTCCAGACATTTCCCAAGTGTCCAAGGAGCCCCACCCCGGCCCTCAGGGCTAGGGGTGTCCTGTCCAGTTCTGTGTCTCCCAGTTCCGGGGCCACTTGAGGACCAAGCTCTCATAACATGGAGTGCCCAGGGCCTGTGGGGCTCCTGACCAGTCAGGGGCAGGCAGAAAGGCTATTAGGGAGGCTTCTTGAAGGAGGCAGCAATGCCTGAATAAGAACAAAAGGAGAAGTGTCGCCAGGCAAGGCACAGCCAGTGTAAGGGCCCTGCATCAGGACAAGCTTGGGGGTGTGGGGGAAGGAGAGCAGGTCAGGGAGGGGGCAGGGCTGGAGCATGCAGGGCCACAGAATGAACTGGGGTCTAGAGGAGAGGCCTGAGGCCAGGCAGAGGTAGGGGTCATTGGCCAGCCGTGGAGAGGGCACGTGGCCATGGCAATGAGGCAGTGGAGGCTCAGAGAGAGGGGCCAACCAGCTCACCGGACACACCAGAGTTGGGAGGCAGCTCTTTTGTTATTGATTTACTCTGCCGCCATCTGGTGGCAGCATGCGAATTCAAGCTGGAGTCAGAACCCCCAGGGCTGCCCCCTTTTTAACTGTTTCACACCTCAGCCGACCACCCCAGGGGAGGAGATGAGACTGGTTTTCCACTTCAGCAGGAGCAAGAGTGTGCTGAGACCTGAGGCAAAGCCGAAATCCTGGGAAACGCAAGCTGATAAGTGTTGAGGGAACGCCGGGAATTTTCTGCATTTCCCACGGGCCAGCGGCAGGGAAGTGGTTTCTATAAAAAGCCCAGAGGGATTTTGGTGCCCAGCACTGGGGGTAAATGAGGTTTGCTGGAGGGAATGTTGGATTGAGCCCATTGATGGGAACAGAAAGACCCAGAAAAAACAGCCCTGGGTGTTTTCTATTTTCTTTTTTTTTTTTTTAACTTTTTTTTTTTTTGGCTGCCTTGGGTCTTTGTTGCTGCGCACAGGCTTTCTCTAGTTGCGCGAGCGGGGGCTACTCTTCGTTGGGGTGGGTGCACGGGCTTCTCACTGCGGTGGCTTCTCTTGTGGAGCACGGGCTCTAGGCGCGCGGGCTCAGTAGTTGTGGCTCACGGGCTTCAGTAGTTGTGGCTCGCGGGCTCTAGAGCTCAGGCTCAGTAGTTGTGGCTCGTGGGCTCTAGAGCGCAGGCTCAGTAGTTGTGGCGCACGGGCTTAGTTGTTCCGCGGCATGTGGGATCTTCCCGGACCAGGGCTCGAACCCGTGTCCCCTGCACTGGCAGGCGGATTCTTAACCACTGCGCCACCAGGGAAGCCTGTCTTCTATTTTCTATGAGCCCGTGTACGTGTGTGTGTAACAGAGGAAAGTTCTGCACAGCAAAGATCAGATCCAAGAAGGGGAGGTGAGGCTGGGGGATATAGGGGCCTGGGTTGATTTGCTGGACGTTGGCCGGGGTTGTTGAGATTCAGGGGACAGACCCACAGGAATCATAAACAGGATGTTGGGCAGGTGCGACCTGGGGGACCTCGGGGACAGCAGGGCGGCTCCCAACAGCGTGGGGAGACACGCAGAGCATCATTTTCCTGTTGCGGTGTGACGGGGATCAAGCGAGAGACTCCCCGTGGCATCACGGCTCTGATCGTGAATCAGAACTCCCCCAGATGCCCAGCCCCGCTCCCCAAGGCAACCAGCACCGTGCCCTTTGGAAGAGGGTTAATGGTTAACAAGCCCTCAAGGACGGCACTTTCTCATCTGAGAACTTTACAAAAAGTTCATTCATTTAATCCTCAGGACAATCCTGTGAGATGGGAGCCTATAACTTCCATTTTACAGATGAGGAAACTGAGGCATGGAGGGGTTACATCCATAGCCTGAAGTCATAGTGGGCAAGTGGCCACTCCAGGATCTGAACCCAGAGTCCACAAGCTTAGCCACCATGACCTGTGAGGAAATAGCATACAGGTGGTGCTCCATATAGATGCAGCTTTTGTTTAAATCTGGTCTCCCTGCCTGAGTCACGGTCTCCTCCATTATTCCCACCCCCACTGGAAACAGGGTTATGTATACAGCAGGTGCTTACCAAGTGCTCTATGGTAACTTTAACTCAGCAGGGTGGGGACCCCACCGAGAGGGGAGAGGTGGGGGTTTGCTTGCCTGTGGCCACACACCAAGGAGGAGCCCAGGGACAAACTGGACTCCAGCCCCAGCCCGCCTCTGGGTGTCCCTGAGGGCCCCCGCCCGCCTGTTCCTGCAGATGGATCCGTTGGTTCCCTCCCCTGAACCCTGCTCCGAGCCAGGAGAACGTTGCTTCTTGCGACAGCCTTGGCTACAGCCGTTGCAGCTGGAGCAGCCTGGGACGGGGTGGGGGTTGGGGGGGGAGTTGAACTGGGGCCACGGGGCTGGGAACCGGCCCTGGTGGACCCCATCTCCATTGTTCGGCTTGAGTTCTTCCAAGGTCCAGGCTGAAGTTCTCAAACTTGGTTGGAGATCCATGATCCAGCCTCCAGGCCTGGGCAGGAATTTTTTCCTCTGCCTCAGGCTGGAAGGGGGTTCAGAGAAGCTCAGAGGGGTGCAGGTAGGGTGGGGGTGGGAGGGATTCCTTCCCAGAACCTCTGAGGGCCCCCAGAGACTGATGAGGTCCCAGGTGGGAGTGAGTTCCCCGTTAGGAACAGCAACCAGTCCGGGCTCCAAGAAGGAGACCCAAGGCTGGGGAATAGGCAGCAAGTCTCCCTCCAGCTGTGCACTGTGGGCACCTGGGTTCAAAGCCCAGTCCTCCCACCATTTCACTGGGTAGGCAGCTCCCAAATGTCAGGACAGGGCTGCGTGCACATGGTTGCCGTTGCCCTGGGTAAACTGAGGCACGTGGGCGTCCCAGCCAACTCCTTTGGGCCGGAGTGGTCAGATTTAGCAAAAATACAGTACTCCCAGCTAACTTTGAATGTCAGATAAACAAAGACTAACTTTGTACGTAAGTACATCCTGTGCTTATATTTGGGATATACTTACGCTAAAAAAAAAAAAAAGCTTATCTGACGTTCCAGTTTAATTGTGCATCCTGAGTTTGATCTGGGGACCCTCCTGGAGCCAGCCCTGCCCCTTGCACACATCCTCTCCCCCCTGTTCTCCCATCACCCCCTCGTCCCCCACGTCCCAGGATGGGCAGAGGAAGCGGGGGCACCAGGCCCCCCCACGGGCAACTGCAACGGCCTCGGGGCATGGGGGCTATAAGAGGGGCAGGTGGGCATAAAGGGCAGAGACGCCAGAGCTCCCGCCCAACCATGATCCAAAGCTGCAGACCCTCCAGCCCTGCCCTGGCCGCTGTCCTGTTGGCCGTGCTGCTGGGCGGTGAGCGGGGCCCGGGTCTGTCCCTGGGGTCCAGTCCTGCCTCTCCACCTGCTGGGGACCCTCTCGGCCCCCTCATCCTCATGGGGAGTGACAGCTGGGATAAGGAGAAGGCTGAGGTCCTGAGTGGTGAGGTCTGAACAGCGGGGTCTCTGGGGACTCCCAGCGGGTGAAGTCCAGATCTAGCTGCGCCCTGGCAGGGGGACCGTGCAGGCCCCCTCCCCTCTCTGGGCGACAAGCACGGCAAGAACCCGACCCGGTGGGGTCCTGGGAGGGGGGGGGGGGGTTTCCCGGGCGGGGGCGGGGCTCCTCCGCGCCGCTCACCGCCGCCACCGCCCTTGCCCCCAGGCCCCGCGCTGGCTTCGGAGATCGTGGGGGGCCGGCCGGCCAGGCCGCACGCGTGGCCCTTCATGGCGTCCCTGCAGAGGCGCGGACGCCACTTCTGCGGCGCCACCCTGATCGCGCGGAACTTCGTGCTGTCGGCCGCGCACTGTCTGGACGGCATGTGAGTGTCCCCGCGCGTCCCCATCTCGGGTTCCAGTGCGCCCGCCGCGCGAGGGTCGCGCGGGCCGTGCTGCGGGCCCGGGGTGGGGCCTTCCGGCAAAGGCGCGAGGGTCTGCAGGTCCTCCTGCGCTCGGGCGGGGTCTCTCCGCCGCTCCCGACCCCTCGGGCGCCCCAATCACCTCCTGTCCCCCCGCCCCAGGAACCCCCAGTCGGTGCGCGTGGTGCTGGGGGCACATAACCTGCGTCGGCAAGAGCAGACCCGGCAGACGTTCAGGGTCCAGCGGGTCTTTGAAAAAGGCTTCAACCCCTTGGGCCTGCAGAACGACATCGTGGTTCTCCAGGTGCGCGGCCGGGGACGGGGCAGGAAGAGCAGGTGCAAAGGCCCGCGGGAGGCTTGGGGAGGGCGGGGGAGGGGCAGGAGCCTGGGGGACAAGGCTGGCGGGCGCAGACCCGGTGTCGCCCCCATCTCTGTGTGCCTCAGTCTCCCCCTCTGTAAAACAGAGAAATACTCCCCACCCCCATCCCCCGCCGTGCAGGGCTGTCAGAGATTACATGAGGTGACTGCGAGAAAGGTATTTTTGTGCCCGCTGGCGGAGGGAAGGGGCAGTCTCCCTCTTTGCCAAATGGGGCAAAATTCCCCACATTCGGGCCAGTGGGAGACCGGAGGGAGAAACCTGCCTTTCCCCTCTGCTTGCCCAGCTATGATTATTCTCAGGCAATGTTCTAGAACAAGGGTTTTATGGTCGTTGCTGTGGCCCATCGTTTGCTTTATTACTTTTTTTTTTTTTAAAGAAGATGTTGGGGGGCTTCCCTGGTGGCGCAGTGGTTGAGAGTCCGCCTGCCGATGCAGGGGACACGGGTTCGTGCCCCGGTCCGGGAGGATCCCGCGTGCCGCGGAGCGGCTGGGCCCGTGAGCCATGGCCGGAGCCTGTGCTCCACAACGGGAGAGGCCACAGCAGTGAGAGGCCCGCGTACCGCAAAAAAAAAAAAAGATGATGTTGGGGGTAGGAGTTTATTAATTTATTTATTTTTGCTGTGTTGGGTCTTCGTTTCTGTGCGAGGGCTTTCTCTAGTTGTGGCAAGCGGGGGCCACTCTTCATCGCGGTGCGCGGGTCTCTCACTATCGCGGCCTCTCTTGTTGCGGAGCACAGGCTCCAGACGCGCAGGCTCAGTAGTTGTGGCTCACGGGCCTAGTTGCTCCGCGGCATGTGCGATCCTCCCAGACCAGGGCTCGAACCCGTGTCCCCTGCATTAGCAGGCAGATTCTCAACCACTGTGCCACCAGGGAAGCCCTATTACCTACTGTTTATTGCACTCAAGACAGATCCAGGGATGCCCTGAGCCACGGTGACTGCTCCCACTTTACAGACGGGGAAACTGAGGCTTGAAGTGGGAGGCAACCTGCAGGGTGGGTGTCCTGCTCTGAAACATCCCAGGACCATGGTGGAGCCTCGGTTGGGGAAACCAGGGCCCAGAGAGGTGAGGGTCGTCACTCCCCACCCTCTGTGACATGCCACTGCTCCATCCCACCTGCTGCAGCTCAGTGGGATGGCCACCATCAACACCAATGTGCAGGTGGCCCAGCTGCCCACCCAGGACCAAGGCGTGGGAGAAGGGGTGCAGTGTGTGGCCATGGGCTGGGGCCAGCTGGACACGAACCGGCCACCGCCCCCAGTCCTGCAGCAGCTCAACGTGACCGTGGTGACAGCCCTCTGCCGCCCCTCCAACGTGTGCACCCTGGTGCCAGGCCAGCATGCCGGCATCTGCTTTGTACGTACCCCATGTCCCCCCGAGCCAGCACCGTGCTCCCATCCAGGCTGCAGCAACTAGGACTACAGCCAGACCCGTGGAAGGAATCCCCGACCCTGAAGGGGGTGGGTGGGGGTGTGACGGTGGGGGACTGGAAGCCCAGACTCCCGAACTTGTCTGGCTCCACAGGGGGACTCCGGCGGGCCCCTGGTCTGCAACAGGCTGGTCCATGGGATCGATTCCTTCATCCGAGGGGGCTGCGGCTCTGGGACCTTCCCAGACGCCTTTGCCTCCGTCGCCAAGTTTGCAGACTGGATCAACTCCATCATCCGCCGCCACGGTGACGATGACGGCCCCTCCCTCCACCCTAGGGACGCTGCGGGCAGGACCTGCTAGAAGGGGCTTCTCCTGTCACCCCACCTGACCTGCCCCTGGCTGGGCCCTTCCCATGCAGCATCATGTGGCACCTAGCACAATAAAAACATTCTGTTTTGTAGAATGTGTCTGGGGGCTTGCTGGTTGTGCCACCGAGAGTCGAAAGTCCTCAGGAGAATGTCTTGGGCATGTCACGAGTACGCTGCCACCAGGTGGCAGCTAATTCAGGGCATTGGGGTAAGAAGTCCCTTCCCCACCCTCTACAAAAGGATACTGATTGCCATTTCTGGTTTTTCCTCCTATCAAGCATAATTAAACTAATGTTGCAGGTGGCGATAATGAAAAGCACTGTAGCAAGTGTCCATGAGTGCTTACAAGGCATAGAAATCATTGTGAGTCTTTGCAAGTATTCACTCAACTGGTCCTCTCCACCCTCGAGGCAGGTCCTATGAGTTGCCCCACTTTACAGATGAGGAAGTGGAGGTGCAGAGAGCTGTGAAGCCACGCTCAGGAGCCTGGGTTTGAGTCCCAGCTCTGTGACTTTGGGCAACTTGCTTGCTGTCTCTGAGCCTCAGTTTCCCTGTGGGGAAGAGTGAGACACACTATCTGGGAAGGACCCAGCCAGGGGTTGGGGTCCCAGGCCAGCCTTGGCCTCACTGGGTGGGGAGACAATCCCTCCCCCACCTCCCCAGCCTTCTGCCTTGGCAGGGGTCGGGGGGCAAAGCCACGCAGATGTTTCACAAGGAAACACCCAGCCCCGAAGGAGTCATAGCCCTGGGGGAGACGGCCAGCCTGTACCCCTCTTCTGCCTCTGAGCCTGAGAAGGAACCTCCTGGGGCCACAGGTGGGGGCCGCGACACATGTGGCCTCTGCCATCACTCGGCTCACAGTCTGATGGTGTGGGAAACAATCACCCAAGTAAATGAGAGAAGTTAACATCAGGTGACACCCCGGACCCCACACCAGGGGGCCAGGAAAAATCTCTCCCTCTCTGTCCCCTCGTGCCAAATCCTCAAATACCCGATCCCTGCAGCACCCCACCCCGGGGGGTCCCACCTCAAGGTTGTTAACGTTTGCTGTTCCCTCTGCCTGCCAGCTCTTCCCGCAGGTTGTCACCGGGGCACACCTCTCCCCAGGTGCCAGCGGCTCAGAAAGGTGACCCACTGCCCTGCAATCACTTTTTCCACTTAATAAATACTACACCCTGGCGGTCTTTCCATGTCAACAAAGCATCCGAGGACAAGCAGGGTTATTTATTGAACCATCTTGTCTTGCTGGGTCATTTCCAAATTTTGTTGCAATTTCCAACACTCTGACTTACATACTCTGGACTCCACATGCAAATGGGCTTTCGTTTCAGAGTTTCTGATTTGGGTAAGAAAACACGTTGGGATCTAACAAGTCACATTTGCTACGTTGTTCTCTATTTTTCTTTTCACCACGAAAAGAAGTAGAGGGGAAAAGATTGCGCACTGTTCCCACTGGGAACAGCTTGAGGTCCTCCCCACCCTTCTGGTCACACGCAGCATCTCCCACTAGTAGGTTCACGAGATGTTGACCCACCATCCCCAACTTATAGAGGGCCATGTGACCCAGGTTCTGCTCCTCAGAACCTGCCATCCCCTGCCCACAGTGACGGTGTAGGGGCACGAGATCCAAGCTCGGCCAGTCAGAGGCAGGCTTGAGATTCCGGCTACAGTGATGGGGAATTTACGGAGGGGCTGACTGAGCTCCTGGGCTGAGTCTGGGGTCACAACAGGGGAGCCTGGTGAGGAGAAAAGCCATCAAGGAGGAAAGGAGGAACCAAAGGCAGAAACCTGACCTTGTTCAAGTAACTGGATCAAGCTACACCTGAAGGTAGACCCATGAACTTTCCACGTAATTTCCTTGTAGAAGGCTCCACCCAGTTTGCCTCGGTTTTTCTGTCACTTGTATCCAATGGTCTTTCCAGCTGCCCCATACACACCACCTTTCCAATATTCTACTTGTTGAGGTATCAAGCTCCAGAGCCACAGCAACAGGGACAAGGGTGTTGGATGACCTCTCCCCCACCCCCACCCGACCTCCTCTCCAAGTTGCAGGAGGAAGAGAAAGAAGAGAGAAGCAGAAAATGCGGAAGTGGGTTGTTTACAAACTGTGGTTTCCAGCTGCTGTTGTGAAACTTTGGGGCTGCAAAGGCACTCTGCGGAGACGGGGCCGTGGGGCTGGGTGTAGGTCCATCCCTCTGCTCTGCCTGCTGCCCATCCTGAGGGGCTGCTCCCCACAGGAGCCCCTGTGCCTGGCCCAGCCCTGGGCCAGGCTCACAGAGGCGGGACGCATGCCCAGCAGCCTGTCTATACTCTTGGTACAAAGTCCGTGGGAGACAACCACACCCCTGGGGAGGGTGGACAGGTGGCTTCCCCATGCCAACTGGGCCGCTGCCCACCCGGCTGATAGGGCCTGTGCGAGAGCCCGCCCCCTTCCACCCTCATAAAAGCACCCCTAGGGCCTGGCCTGGGTCAGTGTCAAGGCCACTGCAGCATCATGGCGGACCGCTCCCTGCACCTGGCGGCTCTAATCCTCCTCGGGGCGGCTGTGTGTGGTGAGTGGACCTGGGCCTGCGGTGACCGCTGGGGGCCACCAGCCTGCAGGGCGGTCAGCCAGGGGGCCTGCTCCGTCAAACAGGACTGTCCTCCAGCCCCCCTAAGTGGGCAGGGAGGGGGCAGGTTTCACATGAACAGAAGCCTCTGAAAACCAAGGAATTCTCAAAATTTTGGTGGTTTATTTTTTTGCGGGGGAGGAGGCCGGGCTGTGCAGCTTGTGGGATCTTAGATCACCCACCAGGGATTGAGCCCGTGCCCTCGGCAGTGAAAGCAACGAGTCCTAACCACTGGACCACTGGGGGTAATTCTCAAAACTCTGAACCTAGCTTTCCACACACTGGAAAACCGGCAGCTCGAGGGGTAATGGCTGGCAGGGGTGATGGGTTTGGACAGTCCGGCTTTCCTTATGTTTAAATTGCAGCCTCAGGCCCAATGTGTAGGTATGGAATTTGCCCCAGACTCGGTCACTCCCTATCATCTGTCTTCTCGGGCATTCCTCCCTGGGGCCCCCCGGAGTTTGCAACTCTGTCCGGGAGGATTGTAAGGATGGAATTCCAGGTCTGAGGGGTGCTGGAGCCGCCTCGGGGTAGAGAGAGAATCCTAGCGGCGGGGGGGGGGCTGCAGTCACCCCCTAAGTCCTCACGCTGACCTGCCTACCTCCAGCGGCTCAGCCCCGCGGCAGGATCCTGGGCGGCAAAGAGGCCATGTCCCACTCGCGGCCCTACATGGCATCCGTGCAAGTGAACGGCAAGCACGTGTGCGGAGGCTTCCTGGTGGCCGACCAGTGGGTGATGAGCGCAGCGCACTGCCTGGAGGATGTGTGAGTGGCCCGGGGCAAAGAGCGGGACGGGGTGGGGTGGGGTGGGGTGGGGTGAGGTGGGGCGGGAACGTGACTCTGATGGTGGGTCCACCCCACTCCCAGGGCCGACGGGAAGGTGCAGGTGCTCCTGGGCGCGCACTCCCTGTCACAGCCGGAGCCCTCCAAGCGCCTGTACGACGTGCTACGCGCAGTGCCCCACCCAGACAGCCGGCCGGACACCATCGACCACGACCTCCTCCTGCTGCAGGTCTGCTGAGTCTAGCCCCAGTCCCCCCTGTTGCCCCGGGGCCCTCGCCCCCGCCCCCGCCCCGACCCTAACATCCCCTTCCGCCCCAACCCCCAGCTCTCTGAGAAGGCCGTGCTGGGCCCCTACGTGCAGCCCCTGCCCTGGCAGCGCGAGGACCGCGACGTGGCGGCCGGCACGCTCTGCGACGTGGCCGGCTGGGGCGTGGTCAACCACGCTGGCCGGCGGCCAGACCGCCTGCACCACCTACTCCTGCCGGTGCTCGACCGCGCCACCTGCAACCTGCGCAAGTACCATGACGGCACCATCACCGAGAGCATGATGTGCGCGGAGAGCAGACACCGGGACAGCTGCAAGGTGCAAGGGCGGGGCTGGGCCAGTAGAGGGGTGGGGGCCAAGGCCTCGGGAGGGCGAGGCGGGGGGGGGGCGGCGGCCTGCTGGGGGCGGAGCCAACAGAAGGGGCGGGGCGCACGGGAATACGGGAGGCGAGGCTGATGGAAAGGGCGGGTCGCGCGCGGGGGAGCTCGCAGAGTGCCCCCCCAGGAGAGTGGGCGTGGCCTGAGGCAGGTGTGGGGGCTGAGATGGGAGGGTCAATGACACAGACTGGGTGGGCGTGGCTGGCCAGAGGTCTAGGCAGGGTTGGGAGGAGAGGTGGGATCTGGAAGAGGGTGCGGACGAGTTGGGGCCCGAGCTTGGAGAGGGCCAGGAGTGGGGCAGGGTCGGAGGAGGGGGCTGCTCCACTTCCGTGGGACGGAGTGCGGAGTGGAGCCTGGAGAGGGGCGGAGCCGAAAGCCGGCGGAGGTGGGGCCTTGGTGGGCGGGGCCTGAGATTGACGAGCGAGGGAACTGTTGGGACCAGCGGGCTGAGGGGAATTGCAGCAGGCGCCGGTGGAGCCGGACCGGACGCCGAAGGGCGGGCCGGACGCCTGCGGCGGCCCTGTACCGGACCTCATGACATCGCTCCCTGCAGGGTGACTCTGGAGGCCCGCTGGTGTGCGGCGGCGTGGCCGAGGGCGTGGTCACCTCGGGCTCACGTGTTTGTGGCAACCACAAGAAGCCCGGCATCTACACGCGCGTGGCGAGCTACGTGGCCTGGATCGACGGAGTGATGGCTGAGGGCTCAGCTGCCTGAGGAGGACCTGAGGGGCGGCGGTCACGGGGGCCCGAGCAATAAAGTCATCCACTCCTGCACCCGGTCCGCCTTTACAGATTGCACGCTGCGTGAGGGAGCGGATGGAGGCGAGACAAACTGAGGGGGGCGGCAGCGTCCCGGTAATGCGGTGCCAGGAGGTGACCCAAAGGCTGAGAGACGGCGTGCCTGGCGTAGGGATCTTCGGGGACAAAAGTCCGGAGACCCCCACGCCCTTCAAGCCGGGCTGGAGCTGCCAGGAGTCGCTTCACGTCTTGGCCACGCGGTGGCGCCCTTACTCTCCCCTGGAAATTGGAGAGACGCCCGGAGACCCAGGGAGGGGCACGAGTGGGGGTGGATGTCCCCTTGGTCCTTGCTTCCCGAGCAGAAAGTGAGGGCCTGCTATGTGCAAGACCCTGCTCTGGGCTGAGATCTAGGTACACAGAGAAGTTGTGTTCTTAGGACCCGTGTCCCAAATGGGAAAACAGGCTCAGAGAGGCCGTGCGACTCTCCTGACATCACACAGAAGGTCCTCAGCAAAGCCTGGAAATGAGCGCAGAGCCACAGGGCCTGCGTTCATAGGCCAGCCCCAGGTGCTGCGCGGTTCACTGAGCAAAGCTGACTGGTGTCCCAGAGCGGCTCCACTGATTGGAGGCCCAGGGGACTCACTGTCCTCCTGGCTCTGTTTACCCTTTTGGGAGGTGACAAGGCAGAACCCAGGTCCTGAGGCCCTGTGCCCTCTCTCCCACTTGGACGAGGGGCCACTGAAGCCCAGCACCTACTAGGCCCCAGGTGTTAAGCCTGGTCCACAAAGGGGGTCTCTGACCTCTCTTTGGTCGAGGAGACTGAGGGTCTGAGAGGTGGTCGTGTGCCCCACCAGGCATTGGAATTGGAACCTATGGCCAGTTTTTGTTTTTCCGCTATGGAGCGTTCATTCATATGGAAGCACTTGTTGAGTGCTCACTGTGTAGACACAGCTGAGACCCAGCCCTGCTCATAGGAACCGGGTCAAATATTCCATTGCACAGGATGGAACTCATGAGTCATCCTGAAGACGGGCCTGGGGCTCTCAGCGTACTCACTGTTCATCTGAAATTCAGATTTAACTGTCGTCCTGCATTTTACCTGGCGCCACTAGTGGGGGCTACAGACCAGACTAGGCTGTCCGTTTTGGTGAGCCTCGGGCCCTGAGGTCAGAGCAGGACCAGATGGAGTGGGTGGGGCAGGCAGAGGGGGAGGGATCTGGGGGTCTCCAGGCAGGAGACATAGGCTCCATGCTTTCTACCCCATGGGGGGGTTTCTGCAGTCACATGAAAACTCAGAAGTCCCTGTGACACAGCCGTCTGAGAGCCCTGTGACCCTGCAGGGCCTCTTCTAGCAATTTCCCCACAGATGCTGGTGGGAGGGGGAGGGGACAACCCTGAGCCACAGGGGAGGGGGAGCGTGCAGGGAGGGTGGCCCACGTGGCCGTGCCCCCCCCACTGCAGACGGGAGCCCACTTGCCGTGGGGAGTCAAGGGCAGCTTCCCGCTTCTATTGCCGGAGGATGGTGGCCTCGGCCTCCTCACCTGCAGCTGGGGCCCGTGGACCTGGCTCTGAGGAGGCTGAGGCACAGTGAACACGCAGCCCGACAGACTGACTTGCCTCTCCCTGTCACAGTAACACCTGCCCTTGTTGACCCCGGGGGGGGGCCCGTGTGGACACATGGTGGGGGCAGGATGGGGGGCAAGGGCACATCCCCACCCACAAATTCCCTCTCAACCTGGAGGAACGTTCCAGCAGGGCTCTCAGCAGGGGGCCCCCCCATGGCCCCCAGGTGAGCCTGACGCTTCTGGACAGCTGGGCCGCTTATGCCTACTGGGCTTGTCATGGCAGTTCACGGAGCGTTCCGCTTATCCACTGCTGTGTAACAAACTGCCCCAAACTCGGCGACGCTGAGCCATCCCCGTTCGCCATTCGCTGCACTCAGCTTGTGTGGGTCGGGGTCACAAGGATGTGGGGGGGAGGGGCGCGTGTCCCTGTCCCACCACCTAGATGACCAGAGGCCTGGAGGCTCCAGGATGATGGCCCAGGAGCCAGGCCGGTTCCCACCAGCCTCAGGGTCACCCGGGGTCACTTCCCCTGCACAGGACAGGTGGGAACACGTGTGAGCCCCAGACCCAAGGGGAGGAGATGCGGACCCGCCCTCCAGGGAGCGTCCGAAGATGGTGGCCGGGGTGTAAATACCCACAACTTAACCTTAACTAATGAAACATGAGTGCAAGAAACAGGTTCATTTTTCTAAGACAAATAACTGGTTTAAAGACTTCAAATGACTTGAGAAACACAAGTTGCTTTAAAAAAACATGGTCAAATGGGGTAAAAAGGCTGAGAAAAAATATGTAGGACTGTGGACCACATGCCCCTCGACCAGGGAGGCCGCCCTGGGTCCCCTTTCCCCAAGGGGACAGAAGGCGGTGGCAGCAGCACGGGAGGTGAGTCCGAGGCAGGGTGTCTCCACCCCTCCCGGCATGGCCAGCAGCTCCGGGTCCCCACAAGTCCCCGCAGAAGCACCTCTCAGACGGCAGGACCTAGACGCCAAGTGCTGCTGCCGCAGGTGGGCGGGCCGGCAGGGAAGCGGCCCCTGGCCCAGGTAATGGGGCCCCTGGAGCGCTGCCGGCCCCAGAAAGCCCAACAGACACCACTGCCGCGTGTCGACCTCTGCGGGGCGCCCGGCCGGCCTGCCCTCCCTTGCTCCTCCAGAGGAAAACAAGAGAAGCAATCACCACTTAACAGGCAGGCCAGAAGGAAAACAAGAGAGGCAATCACCACTTAACAGGCAGGCGCTGTGCACGGGCCGCAGGGAGCCAGGTATAATGGGTGGAAGCAGCTGCAGGCGAAGCAGGACCCCTGGGGGCCGCGGAGCTCAGGAAACCCGGGGGGAGGGGAGGGATGCAGAGGGAAAGCAGAGACAGAGACACTCATGTGCGCAGGAACCCAGGCGGCGGGGAGCAGCCCCCACCCACGTCCAGCCCACCGCTCCCCCCCTCCCCCCCGCGCAGGGACCCCTGTGCCTGGCAGACACTAGGTGCTCAATAAATGCTGACAGAGCAGGAGAGCAGCGCACACGGGCGGAACCACATGCCTGTGGAGGGGGAGGGAGGCTCCAGGGGCGAGGGGGCTGCCTGGTGGCACCCAGGACACCGACAAGACACCGGCCACCCAGTGGGGATGTTTACTGGGCCTGCCCAGGTCAGAGACAGTGGTCGCGAGGGCTCAGCAGTGACAGGTACAGGTGAGGAACCCGAAGCAGACACCCGGGCTGGTGTCACCGACAGTGGCCACTGGACACCCGGCAGGTTCGTGTGGGATGTTCTGAAGGACAGAGGCCTGAGCTGTCCTGGACCCTCTGAGCTGGGACCTGGGAAATCCAGGGCGGTCACTGAGCTCTGGGGTCCCAGGGGTCGGGACACAGCCGTGGCTCTACCCGGGCCAGTGAGATCCTCAGGGCAGGGCCAGGTCTCAGTCACCACCTGTTATGGTGGCCATGCGGCCAGGCCCTCCACCAGGATCCGCCAGTAGGCTCCGAGGAAGAAAGAGCAGGGCCCGCTGGGCCGAGGGTGCCAACTTGAGGCTTCAGGCCATGTCCTCGCCTGCCCTGCCGGTTACAGAGGTGCTGGCACAGCTGATAAGGGCCAAAAAGCATAGTTCAAGGGTGGCATTGTCTCACGCACCCAGTGAAGGTCTGGAGTGCGTGGCTGCTCTGTGACCAGCAAGGGGACAGCGTGCCTTTCCTTTCAACCCATTGGGAATCCACTGACATTCCGCACAGCAAAGGAAACCATAAACAAAACGAAAACAACCTACGGAATAGGAGAAAATATTTGCAAACGATGCGACCAACAAGGGCTTAATTTCCAAAATACACAGCTCATACAACTCAGTATTAAAAAACCAAACAACCTGATCAAAGAAATGGGCAGATCTAAATAGACATTTTTCCAGAGAAGACATACACATGGCCAACAGGCACATGAAAAGATGCACGACATCGCTAATTATTAGAGAAGAGCAAATCAAAACTACAACAAGGTATCACCTCACACCAGTCAAAATGGCCATCATTTAAAAGTCTACAAATGACAAATGCTGGAGAGGGTGTGGAGAAAAGGGAAGCCTCCTGCACTGCTGGTGGGAATGTAAGTTGGTGCAGCCGCTGTGGAGAACAGTATGGAAGTTCCTCAAAAAATTAAAAGCAGAACTACCATATGATCCATTCCTGGGCAAATGTCCAGACAAAACCATAATTCAAAAAGACACATGCACCCCAATGTTCACAGCAGCACTATTCACAATAACCAAGACATGGAAACAATCTAAATGTCCATCGACAGATGAATGGATAAAGAAAATGTAGTATATGTGTATATATATATATATATATATACACACACACATACACACAACAGAATATTACTCAGTCATAAAAAGAATGAAATAGTGACATCTGCAGCAACATAGATGGATCCAGAGATTATCATACCAAGTGAAGTCAAAGACAAATATCATACAGTATCATTTACACGTGAAATGTAAAATATGACACAAATGAACTTATTTACGAAACAGAAACAGACTCAGACACAGAACACAAACTCATGGGTACCAAAGGAGAGAGGGATATATTAGGAGTGTGGGATTAGAGGATACACATATAAAATAAATGACAAGGTCCTATGGTATAGCACAAAGAACTATATTCAATATCCTGTCATAAACCATAATGGAAAAGAGTAGGAAAAAGAACGTGTGTGTATATATATATACGTATATATATAAATTTATATACTGTGTTATATACCAGAAACTAACAACCTTGTAAATCAACTACAATGAAATTTTTAGAAAAATTATCCAACTAATAATTAAAGACCGTATTCACCAGACAAGAAAAAAAAAGAAAAGAATCCACTTACAGGGGCCTGGGCGCAGTCAGGGGTAGCTGAGGGGCATCCGCCACCAGAGCCCCCCACACAGGCAGTTCTTGATCCAGCGCTGCTCCCACTGTTTGACGGCCGTGGTCTTGTTGGGTGACTTGAGCATGGTGACACAGCCGCACCTGCAGGTGGAGTCAGGAGGGTGGGGCGCTAGGCAAGGTTGGGTGGTGGCCACAGGGCCTTTGCACACGCTGTTCCACGCCACGAATGCTGTTCCCTGCAGCCCCCACTCCCCCCACACTGATCTAATTCCTCCACATCCTTCCATCCCAGTTCAGATACCACCCCCTCACCTCCCTCAGTGGACAGAGGAGGGGTTGTGGGTCCAAGTCCTGGCTCAGCCCGTCCCTAGTGGTGTGACCCTGGGGTCGTCTGGCAGCACTCGGGGCCACGTTTGCAAAGCGCAGCACTGCTGCAGTCACTCCTTCATGTCTGCACTTGTCAGGTCACTGGGAGCCCCTCAAGGGCAGGCTCGGGTCAGCCGCTCACCGCTGGGCCACCCCGGCCCTTTATGAAGACCACGGGGGCACCCGCTCAGCAGCCCCACAAGGGAGGCACTCCGGGACCCCCGTTCCCAGGTGGGAAACCACCGGTGGCAGAGCGGGCCCGGCATCTGCTGCAGTGCTCACCTGGTGCAGGCCTTGCAGGCCTCCGTGGGGTAGGCGCCCAGGTGCAGCCTCCGCAGGTGGTCCATCTTGGGCTGGCCCGGTGCCCTGACGGAGAAGGGCATGGGAGGGGCTAGGGGGTGTACACGCACGCGCACGCACGCATGCACGCACGCGCACACGCACGCATGCACGCACGCACACGCCAGCACAGGTCCATCTCCTAAAGGCAAAGCGTGCGTGACGCACACTCGCCGGGGAACAGGGAGAGTCTGCAAGCAGGGCTTCTATACGCCCTCCGCCCACAGACCACTAGCCCGGGGTCGGGGTGGCGGCCCAGAACCGCCACGAAGTCTGACAGCCTGGCGCCCAGAGCCTCTCAGAGAGGACCTGGGGCTGGGGCGGGTCGGCCTGTTACGCTCGTATCACACGTTTGAAAACTTCTGAGAGTGTGAAACCCCTTGTGCGACCAGCCACCTCTCCTTGTAAAGTTTTTTCTGAAACCCAAGCACAAACCACAGCGTGTGATTCATCAGGCTGTTCCTCCCACAGCGAGACACGCAAGAAAATACAGAAGGTGTTGAAGGCAGGTCCAGAGCGCTTCCCGGGGAGGCGGGGACGCGAACCTCCACTTGGGGATTCATCGCTCGAGCACCATTCCAGGCAGGCGGCCCGTGGGGTGCTGGGTTTGGGTCCTGGCCAGCTGCCTCCTAACTGCATCTCTGAGGTTCAGTTTCCTCGTCTGTTAAATGGGGACAAACCCCCACCCCAAGGCACTGCCGGGCAGTCGTGAGCTCACTCAGCAGGGGTGGGCCGTCCAGACCCCACACATTCCAAAGAATGGCTCCTGAAGTCACCTCTAAGCCCTGGGAGGTCTGCCTGAGAGGGTTCTGATTCCCTGGGGCCTTGGGCCCCACCAGGCAGTCCAGGCTGCAGTGCGATTTACCGTGGGGGACTGGGGCGTCAGCTTGAACTCTGAACCAAGGTCAGTCACGTGGGGCCCTCCAGGCAGGCGGTGACAGACCAGAGAGAGGATGATGTCACCCAGACAAGCGAGGGCACAGATCAGCACAGGCCGAGGCGACTGGATGGAGGGAAGTGACCAGGAGGGGAGAGAGGGTGGAGGTGGGGGAGTCTCTGAAGCAGCACTAAGGTCAGGCTGGAAGGAAGCAGCGGGCACGGCACGTGCCGAGGCCCCGAGGCAGAGATGGGCACGCACCTGATGAGGCCGTCCAGCTGCAAGCTGGTGGCACTGCCGGGCAGAGCGGGAGGCTTGCCGAAGTGCAGACGCAGGGGCTGCTTGGGCTGCAGGCGGCTGACGAGGCCATCGCTGACGGGCAGCCAGTCCAGGCTGGGGATGAGAAGCTGGCTGGGCAGCAGGCAGCACTCGTCAACGAGCGCCTCATCCGGCTCGCTCGTGGGGCCCTCATCGCGGCCTGCGGGGAGGGGACCACGGGGATATCTTGCTCAGCAGCCTTGCCCGGAGGGCTGCCCACCCAGGAGGCATCATGGCCTCCTCAGAGCTCACAGAGCACCAGGCACAGGCCCCAGCCCTGCCCCGACTTCCTGAGTGGCCCTGGGAAGCTCCTTCCCCTTCTCGGGCCTCAGTCCTCTCCTCTGTAAAATGGGGACCCACTTATTCATTTAAAAAATATGCAGCGAACACTGGGTGCCCTTCCTGGCATCACGGATGTGACGATAGAGCCTGGCCACAGAAACACACGACCTGGTGACACAAGACAAACAGGTGCCTGAGAGTGGCTGATGTTTAATGAGCACACACACTGTGCCTGGACCCGTGTCGGGCGCCGGGGGAACAGTGGGGGCCACGGCAGAGCCAGTCTGACCTGCGGGAGCTTATATTCTGGTGGGGGGACTCAGCCAGGGCTTGTATCTTGGCGGCGGAACGAGAGTAGAGAGCTGGGCGCCTTACAGCAGATCCAGAGCTTGGTGAGCAGGCGGAAGAGCAGGGACATGCTGTCCTGGGTGTCAGAGGTGGCCGTGTACACAGGCAGGCAGCTGGGCTTCAGCAGGCCCCAGATGCGGATGACGACCATCAGCTCCCGCAGCGCGCCCAGCGACGCGCCGTCCCGCAGGAAGCTGTGGCCTGGCCGCAGCGGGGAGCCCTACGGGCAGAAGGGCCCAGGTTGCTTACTTCAGCGTGCGCCGCATCCTAGGACCTCAGCAGGCCCCGAGGGGAGGGGTCTTCTGGGAGGGGCGGGGTCAGGGAGGTGGGGCTTCAGGGGACGAGGCCAGGGGCGGGGCTCCTGGGGGTGGGGCTCCCAAGCAGGAGTGCAGGCGCACCTGGTTGGGCAGACTAGCCAGCAGGTAGAGCACGAAGTCGCCCACCCACTGCAGGAGCTGCTGCAGCGCCTGAAGCGTGTTCATGTCCAGGACGAACTCCTCCGTCTTGAGGTTGATCATGACCTTGTCAATGTCTGGGAGAGGACAGGCAGTCAGGGGTGGCCAGAAACTCACATGTGCACCCATCAGCACGCACGGTGAGCTGGGCCCGCCCCCACAGGCCGACACCAACGTCGTGAACAAGCAAATGAGGGACGGGCCTGCCTGAGCCTGGGACCCTGGAGGGCAGGGTTGGAGGGAGGGTCTCTGGGTGTCCACCGCTGGCCTTCAGATCGCTCTGCCCACCCCTCGGACCCCCTGTGCCGGGCACCCTGCAGCTCCCGCCGGCCTCCAGGCCTCCACACAGGCAGTGCCCCTGGGGACGCCATCCCCAGGCTGGGTCATCTTTGTTCCCATTAACGCCCACCGCGTGTCCCCGACACCCCAAACGTGCGCGACGGCCAAGGGGTCCTCAGCAGCCAGGGCGGCCCGCAGGACGGGGCAGGACCCACCGACATCCGTGATCTTGGCGCAGACCTCCGTCAGCCGGTCGCCGGGACTCTTGTCGGGCGTGTTGAGCACGTGCGGGCGCAGCAGCGACTTGAGCGTGGAGCTGGCGGCGATGAGGAAGAGCTTGGCGTGGTACTCGCACACGCGGGTCACTGCGCAGGGCGACAGCTTGCAGAGCGAGGCCTTCATGGCCAGGATCCGGGTAGAGAGGACCTGGGGGGGCGGAGGATGTGAATGGGCGGGGCACGCGCCTGAGGGGCCGGGGAGAGCGAGGCGCTGGGCCAGCCGGGCAAGCCGCTAACCCTCTCTGGGCCTTGCCCTCCTCATGGCGGAACCAGGTAGGAGGACCTTCCTCACAGGATGGCAGGGTCTCAACCTGTGGGCGCGTGTGCCCCAGGGGCCCAAGGGACACACCTGGGACACCTCACGACTGGGGACGCTCCTGGCATGAAGTGGGTGGGGCCACAGATTCTGCTCTACCCCCCACAGTTCCTGAAACCTGTTGTCTCCCAGGATGAGTGGAGGACTTAAAACAGAAAGATGCTTGCCTACGGAGAATCCCCTGGTGGTCCGGTGGTTAGGACTCTGCGCTCTCACTGCAGAGGACCCAGGTTCAATCCCTGGCGGGGGAACTAAGATCCCCCAAGGCATGAGGGGTGCGGCCAAAAAAAAAAAAAAAGTGCTTGCACACAGCTCTGCCCGATGACAAGAGATCTGATCACTACTGGCGTCCCTGGCTCTGAACCCAGCTCCGTCCTGCGCTGTTCCCCGGATCGGGCCTAGCACTCGCACATCTCAGCAGGTTGCTAATGGGAATGGGATCTCTCCTTCCTGTTTTCTCCTCGACGGCTGGCACAGAGGGCAACTTCAGACGCTTAGCAGCGCTGACCTCTACAGCTGCCCCACTGAACTCGGGGTGGTGGTGGTGGTGGTGGTGGTGGTGGGGGTCTGGGTTTTACAGGCGCGCCACCATGGCGTCTGAACGATCACTTCTCTCTGGCTCACCCGTCTGTAAAACTCCCATTTAGTGCTCTTATCGCAGAAGCAAAGGCCTCCAAAGCCACCCAGAGGCAGGTGGCGTCAGGCCCACAGCCACGCACTGCTGGGCTGAGGTGGCAGCGAGAGGTGGGCCGTCCGGCCTGCGGGTCACCCTGGCGGAGGGACGGGGCAGCAGCCAAGGGGGGCGGCACCTGCTGCAGCTCGGCCTTCTGGCGCGTGTACTCCTCATGCAGCTTCTCCACCAGGCTCTGCACCATGCTGGGCTGCACGTGCAGCAGGATGTCCCACCAGTCGTAGCCGGTCACCATGCAGTACTCCAGCAGGAAGAGTAGGTGCCGCAGGGCCAGCCCCGCGTCCAGCGAGTGGCCCATGGAGGGCGAGATGCGCAACATGCTCAGCTGTGGAGGAGGGCGGGGCGTGAGGGGGCGGGGCCCGAGGGGCAGCTGGGGGCAGGGAGGGCACGGCCAGCGCGGGGCCCAGGCCTGCCCCCTGTCCTGTCACACGGGAGGGCTGCAGAGCTACAGCCCAGCCACATGGAGTTTCCATAAAGCCCCAGGTTTCCATAGCTGTGGCGATTCCCACATAGGGCCTGAAGGGCCTCCTAGCCAGCAGGGCGCCTGTCGGGTGACGGGGCCTGCAGGTCCACCTGGGGGCCGTGTAGTCCCTGGGAACACAGACCTCGTGCTCTCGAGAAGCCCAACCCACCACCCGGAGACACCGAGGATGGGGCCGGAGCAGAAGTTACAGGGTGCCCGACAGCAACTCGCAGGAGCCCACTGCGGGGGGCGGGGGGCACGCGCACGTGGGTGTGAGTGTGCAAACATGTGCACGTGTGTGAACGTGCCAGTAGGACAAACGTGAGGTGGGAGCGTACAAGGGTGTGAATGAGCGTGCAAACACATAGGCAGGTGTAAGCGAAAGCGTGAGTGTGTGAGAGTGGCTGTGAGGCTGCCCGCCCTCCTGCCAGGCCACGGACAGGTTCCCCTGGGAACCAGGAGGCCAACTCGCAGAGCACCTGCTGCGCACTGGGGGCCTAGGACTCCTTGATGTCAGGAGCAGCACCCTAAGGGCCCCCACTTCCTAAGTGCGGCCCCCCGCCACAGACAGCAGTCCCCCGGGGACAGCACTGACCCTGCCGTGGTTGTCGATGCCCACGAGGGCCAGGGAAGTCCAGGAGAGCTGCATGGCCTTGAAGTGGACGGCAGGGCCCGTGGTCCGAGGGCGCTTGATAGCCGGCTCGTCCACGGAGCGGGGGGCTGCGGAGCTATAGAAGATGGCCATGGTCTGCAGCGAGAGCCGGTGCACGATGTGGACGCTGCCGTCATGGAAGGCCAGGGCCAGCCCTGGAGGCACGTGTAGGGTCAGGCGGCCGAACCCAGCTCTGGACAATGGGAAGGGGCAGCCACCACGCCCAGCAGAGGCTGTGCTAAGGAGCGGCGTGAGCCCTGAGCCACTGGGTCGCACCCCCCCCAGTGGGGTCCAGTCCTGGCTAACCGGCCCCCGAATCGGTGGAGCAGACTGCACCCTGTCTGGGCACCTCTGCCCCGCTCCCCTGCGGCCTGCACTAAGTTTGGCCGACGTGAGGCAACAGGTGACTTCCACGGGGACAAGTGGGAGGGGCAGGCGGAGAGGACAGCAGATGGAAAGGGCCTGGGCCTGATGTACACAAAGGGCCTCGGGGCGGAACGGAGGCCAGTAAGCTCAGGGGCTTGTAGAACCCAAAGCCCGTAATCTACAGCAGGGGGCTGGGGGGCTGCCCTGGGCCGGCACCAACACGGCCAGCCTGATTCACCCAGGGTCACAGACGCCAGGGCCCAAACCCAGAATCGCCACGTGAGCTACTACAGCGGGGGTGGGGGTGGGCATGGGAAGGAAGCTTATCTGGAAAGTTTTCCCAAAGTTCCCAGCCTCTCCCTTGTGGACTGCTAACAGCCCTCTACGTAGTAAAGAGCACAGCTTGACGGTGGCCTCACAGCCCTTTGAGCCCATCAGATCCTGAAAGCAGTACCCTCGTCCCCAGCGGGACTGACGTGAGGCCGGGGGCTAGGCTCCCAGGACCCTGTGACGGAAGCCCAAGCTCAGGGCCCACCCCATTCCCCCGGGGGCTCTGAGACACCATACCGAGGCCGGGGTAGAACTGGGTGTCGCTGGCCACCTTCAGGTCGGTGTTGGTGAGCGAGATGGGGAGCTTGGGCAGCGCCACGGCGGACACGCGGTCCAGGTCGTTGGTGGCTGACAGGATCCGCCATTTGAGAATCGTGGGCTGTTTGTCACCAACTAAAAGGGAGTGGGGGGGACAGAGAGCAACAAAATGAAGACAAGACAGGGGGGTGGTGAGGGGGTGAACTGAGAGATTGAGATTGACATATATACACTAATATATATTAAATAGATAATGAGAACCTGCTGTATAAAAAAATAAATACAGGGCTTCCCTGGTGGCGCAGTGGTTGAGAGTCCGCCTGCCAACGCAGGGGACACAGGTTCGTGCCCTGGTCCGGGAGGATCCCACATGCCGCGGAGCGGCTGGGCCCGTGAGCCATGGCCGCTGAGCCATGGCCACTGAGCCTGTGCGTCCAGAGCCAGAGCCTGTGCTCCGCAACGGGAGAGGCCACAGCAGTGAGAGGCCACAGCGGTGAGAGGCCCGCGTACCGCAAAAATAAATAAATAAATACCAAAAAAAAAAATGAAGACGAGACAAACACGACAAGGGTGCACCTGACCCAGCACCCTGCACCTCCTGGAGACCCAGCGAGCTCACGTGACTGGGGTCGGGGGAGAGGTGGTGGACCCCAAAGGATCCGGTCCTGGGCCTTCACGGGAACAGGAGGAGGCACCCGCCTGGGCCACGAGGCTGTCAGCTGGCGGGGGCGGCTCCACCTTGTCCCCTCAAAGGAGCCAACGTGCTGAGAAGGGGAACCCACCCCCGACCCTGCCACCACACAAACCCCAAAACTCCCCAGTGACTCGGCCGGCTTGCACGGGGTTCTGTCTCTGTGGTCTGAGAGGTCCTGGGTGGAACCCCAGCTCTCCCCATGAGCCGGACCGACAGGTGGCCAAGACGGGCCCCTCCCTGCGCCCACACCCCCGGTGTGATGACGAAGCCCCCCAGCAAGGGGTGGGGTGGTTCCCGTCAATCTGGGTTTGGCCCCTGGCGCTGCGGGCATGATGTGAGCAGAGGCTCAGTGGCGCCCGTGCACCTGGACTCCAAGGTGACACTGAGGTGAGCCCGGGCGCCCAGCCAGCGGCCAGCACCCCAGCTGCCCTGGGGTGATGGCAGACACAGGGAAACCAGGACGGAGCAGCGGAGGCGGCCTGGCCCACCACCCTCCGGGGTGCGGTTCTGAGCCAGAGTTTGGGGCTGGTGTGTGACACGGCAAAGCTGGCTGTGACAGCACACCTCTACCCATCTGCCCTGAGAGCTCTTCCCTGGGCGGCCCAGCGCAAAGGGGCTCTTGGCAGACGCCATCCCACAGGGAGACCGAGGCCCAGCGAGGTACGATGCTGAGCACAGCCGCAACGGTGGCAGCTACGGCGATGCCCAGGGAGGGAGGGCGAGCAGGCCCGGCACCCGCACCCACACCCAGCCGGGTGGCCCCGGCCATTCCTAGCTTACAGAGCGGAGCGGCCGCTGTCAGAGGCTGAGCTGCTTGCCCAAGTCCACCTGGACCCACGTGTCCACCCAAGTCAGGCCAACCCCTGGAGCATGGGCTGGACGGTGGCTGGCAGAGCGGGGGCCTGAGAGGGAGGATGGGCTGGCGGGGGACGCTTAGGGCAAAGGCAGGGCGGTAGGAGAAGAGGCAGAGCCAAGAGCCCGCAGGCCACGCGAAGCCAGGACGAGGGGCGGGGTGGGGGGAGGAGGTGCGGGTGAGCTCGGCACTCGGACACCTGCATCAGGACAAGGCTCGACCCGCTGACGGGGGTGACGGCCCTCTCACGTGAGATGTGGGCCCGCTTGTGACAAGGTCCCAGGGTGTGCGTGGGGGCCATGACCCGCCTGACGGCCACGCCCACAGCTACTAGGACAGAGGAGGGACGAGGGAAGGGCTGGGACCCCTTGTGGCCCTGCCGCCCCGCGGCATCACTCAGGAAAGGCAGCATGGCCTTCTTCACATTTAGTTCCTCCGAGGCCACATCGAGCAGCTTAGGCAACCACCTTGCGGGCAGGCAGAGACTCAAGGGGCCTCTTGACATGGCCCCCCGGCCACTCCAGGGCCAATAGCGCTGCCATCAGCGGGAACACGCCCCGTGTGGCCGCAGGTTCACCCCCGGCTTCCAGGGAAGTAGCTTTTCCGGCTTCCCAGCCACACAGGTGTCAGGAGGGGGGCCAGTCCCGGCGGGGGACTCGGGGCTCCGCGTGGGTGTCGGGACAGAGAGGGAGAGAAGGGGATGGTGGGCACGTTCTTGGCAAACTCAGGTCACCCCCGTGCCTCACTCTACCCGAGGGCTCCCAGAGGACCCCAGGTTCCCAGGAGGCTGCGTGTCCCTGGCCGGCTGGAGCGGGACTCACCGGCGGGCGAGAGCTGCTGGAAGATGTTGTTCACGGGGAGCCCCTCCTTGCGCAGAGACCAGCACTCCACCACGCTGCTGGCCTGGCTGGACGCACACAGCAGCACCTGGGGGGCGGGAGGCTCGGTGAGGGGCCTGGACCAGCCCCTCGGCCTCTCCGGGCCTCCGGCTGCTCCACGGGGCTCACATCAGCACCCGCCTCACAGCCGCTGCGGATTCCGACCCAGGTACACCCAGCCGGCACCGCATCTGCCCCCCATGACCCCGCCTCCCCTGGGGAAGGCAGTCGCTCAAGGCACCCCCGGCGGGAAACGAGGGGGCCGGGGAAACGTACTGGGACTTCATGAAGCTGGGTGCTGATCAGTGCAAGGTTATGAGGGGGCCCCGGTGCAGCTGGCTGAACCTCGCCCCCAGAAATGTCCCGGTCATGGTCCCAGGACCTGTGGATATGTCACCTCACGGGGCAGAGGGGACTTCGCAGGTGGGATTAAGTTAAGGCCCCTGAGACGGGGATGACCCTGGATTCACGGGGGGCCCAGCGTCATCCCAGCGTCCTTATAAGAGGAAGGCGGGAGGGTCAGAGGCAGAGAGAGACAGGAGATGCTGCGCTGCTGGCTGTGAGGATGCAGGAGGGGCCGCGAGCCAGGGATGCGGCGCCTCTAGAAGCTGGAAAAGGCGGGAACCGATGCTCCCCTGGAGGCTCCAGAAGGACCAGCCCTGCCCACGCCTGGATTTAGCCCCGAGCGGTCCTACCACAGGGTGGCCGGGCGGGCACACCTGCTCTGACATATCTCGGGCCAGGAACTTGAGGTGAGTGATGGCGGGGAGCCGGTCCCGGCGGTTGAGGTCAGTGGTGCAGCGCATGAACAGCGAGGGCAGGATCTCGGTGTCGATGCGGCATTTCTCGTTGACGACGCTCACGCACACCTTGTAGAACTGCACTGGGGATGCACTGCTGCCGTCTGCCGTGGCCACCACGATGTTGCCGCCACCCGTGAAGGCGATGTCGGCCAGGGCCACGCGGCCACGCAGCCGGCACAGGCTCTCCGTTGAGGTCAGCACTTGCCCGCTGGGCTTGAGCAGGGACACGGTGACCAGGCCGCTGACTGTCACCGCAATCCAGCCCTCCATGGGCTTGCCCCCAAACAGCGTGAGCGACGGCGAGAACTTGACTCGGGAGAACTTCTCGCCAAAGCTGGAGGCGCCCGACTGTGGGGGAGGGGGAGGGGTCAGCTCGGGGCAGCCCCGGCCCCGGGCATGCACTTGGCCTTCAGGGGTCTGCCTCTGTGACCCCAGGACGCCCTTCTGGGAGTCACACCCTTGGGAACATGGAGGAACCATGTGGCAGAAGGCACGAGAGCACGAACTTGAGTTCAGATCCTGCCTCAGCCACTCAAGCACTGTGTGACACGGGCCTCTGACCCTCAGTATCCCCATCTGTACGTCCGAGAACTGTGGTGAGGATGACACGGCTAAACAGGCGCAGGACAGGACTCACCGTGTTTTCCTCACAGGGTCAGACACTCGGTATTTTCAGTTTTGTGAGCCCAGTGGTCTGCTGCGACCACTCAGCTCTTCCTCTGCGTCCGCAGCAAAGAGAAGCAGCCGCCAGTGAGACTGCTTACAAAGTGGGCGAGCCAGCAGGCTGCAGTTTACAGACCCTGGAGGTAAGGCATTCCGGCTGTGCCGCCAAGTACAGCTGCCACTGCCATGTCACCTTTCCAAAGCCAGGTCTAAGTTACAATTAACGTGCAGCAAGATTCACCTCTTCCCGGCTTTCGGTTCAAGTTGATAACCACCCCATGGTGGAAACCGCTCCGATCCTGGGCAGGAACGTTTCTACTCCCCTCGGAAGGGCCCTCGGGCCCCCAGCCAACCCCCGCCCCGGCCCTGGTTTCTGTCCCCGGCTGGGCCTTTCCCAGCGTTCCACCCGGGCGGACCCGGGGGCAGCCTGCACGCCGGGTTCCTTTCAATCCGGGCAACATGTCTGTCACTGAAACAGCACGAGCTGGAGACTAAGCAGGGCTCTCTGGGCAGTGGGAGAGTATGTGCCCTCTCTGTCTGGGGAGCAGACCCACAGGGCCAGGCGTCCAGGGAGGGCAGGGCTGACCACGGCCCCAACAGAGTCTTCCAGACGTGGAGGTGCCGGCACTGTTGGAAAGAAAGAAGCAAAAGCCCGCGGATGACCCCTGAGGAGAGACGCTGGCAGTGTGAAAAAGAAACGTCGCACAGAGAACAAGGTCCAGAAGGTTAGGCAGCAAGCCCTGCAGTTAGAATTCCTACCAAGGGGAGAGGGCACAGACGCCTGACCTCAACATCACGGGCGAGAGCCGCGTGCATGCCCGAGCGTTTTAAATGAGCACATCCGTCTCTTATAATTTAGAGACAAAGGTATCTGGTGGTAAGGAGAACAGTAGCTCTGATGCTCGCAACAGTGTGGACAAACCTTGAGAACACGACGCTGATGAGAGAAGCCAGACACAGAAGGACACACGGTGTGTGATTCCATTGATGGGAAACGTCCAGAACAGGCAAGTCCACAGGGACAGACAGTGGGTTCATGGTTGCCAGGGGCTGAGGTGGGGAAGGGGAGTGAGGCTAATGGGGACAGACTTCCTTTGAGTTGAAAAGAATGGTCTGCGGCTTCCCTGGTGGCGCAGTAGTTAAGAATCCGCCTGCCAATGCAGGGGACAGGGGTTTGAGCCCTGGTCCGGGAAGATCCCACATGCCGCGGAGCAACTAAGCCCATGCACCACAGCTACTGAGCCTGCGCTCTAGAGACTTCGAGCCACAACTACTGAAACCTGCGCACCTAGAGCCCGTGCTCCGCAACAAGAGAAGCCACCGCAATGAGAAGCCCGCGCACCGCAACGAAGAGTAGCCCCCGCTCGCCACAACTAGAGAAAAGCCCACGCACGGCAATGAAGACCCAACGCAGCCGTAAATAAATAAATAAAGGAAACAAAGAAAGAAAATATTAAAAATAAAAAAAGGAAGGGTCTGAAATTGAGTGTGGTGATGGTCGTACTAGTCTGTGACGATACTAAGTAAACCACCAATCTGTATGCTTCAGGTGAGTGAGCCATACTAAGCGACTTGTAACTCAGCACCACTGTTACATAAGAAAAGAGAACAGACAAAGGGAAGGCAGCACGCAGCCCCTGCCCCCGCTCCCTGTGGCCTGGAGCCAGCGCTGTGTGCGCTGCTGCCAGATGCTGACAGTAACTGTCCCCAGGCCCTGCACCGGGCGCAGGGAGCAGACACGGGGAAGGGATGGGAGAAAAGCCACTTCCCACAGCACCAACCCAGGAGGGGCTCCTGGCTCTGGGGAGCAGCCGGCAGAGCAAGCCACGTGCGCCCCGGCCGCCCCACCGAGCCCTCTCAAGCCTTCTCGTGCTGAACCCTCACCACGGCCAGCGGCAGCCCCACTTGATGGTGAGGAAAGCGACGGGTGAGGCGTGGCATCGCGATCTGAGTTCAGCACCCTGGACCCAGGCAGCTCCCCTCTCGAGGGGACGCTGGGCTGAACCGTGGGGTACAGGCAGGAATTCTGGGATCTCACCACATCAGTCACACGGGGGCTGCTGGCCACATGGGTGCTGACCCTGCACGGCAGGTGTGAGCTGGGCCCGGGCGAGGCGGACCAAAAGGGTGCTGGTGACACAAGAGGAGGAGCCGCGCCCCCAGGCAGGACACCCACCTTTTCCACGTGCAGGGCCAGCTTCACACCGTTGTGCAGCCACGACAAGGCCACGATGGGGTCCCCCTCCACCAGGCTGCCCACGGGGCTCTCCCAGCTGTTGGCCAGGTGGTCGGCCATGCTCCAGCACTTGATCTGCCCATCAGCATCAGCAGACAGCAGCCTCGAGCCTGTGCAGGGCAGGGGCCAAAATCGCGTCACAAGCCACCCCCCCCCCCGCCACTGTCCATCAGGGGCCCGGGTGGGAGAGGCCGGCCTGGGGGCAGTAGAGCAGGGAGGGGCACAGGCGAGTCCGGAAAGGACTCTGGACAGCAGCAGTGGGCAGAGCAGGGCCCGCAAACCCACAGATCAAGGGGAGCTGCCCTCACCTGACTGGTCCCACTCGAGGCAGGTGACGGCCTCGCTGTGCCCCGAGCAGATGGAGTGCACGTCCCAGGGGTGCTCGGTGTCCAGGATGTGGATCACGCGGGTCAGGTCTGTGAAGGACGGTGTGCTCAACACGGCAACAAGAGCCGGGTGCCCGATGACCCCGGGGGCATCAGGGAGGAAGAAGCAAAGCCCCGGCCACGGGGACTCAGGAGCCGCTGCTGACACGCCAGCCGCCCGAGTAGAGATGGAGCGGCCCGTGACCCTGCCTCCAGTGGGGCAAAGGAGACGTAGAAAACGGCACCGGAAGAAAACGAACCCCAAATGCTAACAGTGGGCGTCTCTCCGTGGAAACTAACAGCTGGTTCTTTCCCTCACCCTAAGTTTCTGTGTTTTTCTAATTCCCTCTCCCGAGTGCACGTCACTCAGTGGCAGAGACAACACAGGCCCGGCTGGCACCTCAAAGTCAGGTGGTGACACGTTTGGTCTGGAAAACTCAGGCAGGAGCCTCAGCGAGCTGCACGGGGCCACCCACCCCTGGGCCCTGCCATCCCACGGGGTGATCCCAGCGCCCCCGGCTCCAGGCCCTCTGCACCCCTCACCACCCCTCGTCTTGGAGGAGGAGACCCTGTGGGAGCCGGGGGGTGGGGGGCAGGGGAGCGGCTGGCGCACCCTGGTCGTCACTCCGCAGGTCCGTGGTGAAGGCGATGAGGTTACGGCAGGACCAGGTGCAGGCCAGGGGCACCGACGGGCAGTGGGTGCTCTTGGGCCATTTCTCCCACTCGCAGATGTAAGCCAGGTCCATTGTGCCCACCTGCCAAGGTCACACACGGAGGACAGTCACCAGCTCCTGCGGCAGGGAGACTGGCTTGTCATCGATGTTCACGCAGCATCTGCAGGACCCCAAGGGCAGTGCTGGACACTGGGTTACCGCGGGGGACAAAGTGGACTCAACCCCTGCCCCGCATGTGGCGGGGGAGCTGCATTTTACTCATGCGCGGCCAGGGAGGCCTCCCCGGTGGAGGTGTGAGGGATCGAGGCAAGCAGCCTGAAGGAAGAGCATTCCAGGTGGAGGGAACAGCCAGTGCAAAGGACCAGAGGCTGGACTGAGCCTGGGCGCTCAAGGAGTGGAACGGGGCCCTGTGGGGCAGGAAAAGGGTGAGTGAGGGAGCGGGGCAAAGCAAGGGTGGGGAGGGGACGCGACAGGTCGTGCAGGGCCTGGGCGGTTTCACCCTGAGGGAGGTGGCAGCCCCAGGAGGGCTGAGGCCTGTTTATGTTTCACAGGCCACTCTGGCTGTCTGGAGGGCGAGGCTGCGGGACAGGGTGGGGGTGACTGCACTGGTCCAGGTGAACAAAGCTGGGGACAGTGCAAGCTGTGAGGAGCGGTAGGGCAGGACACGGGTCTATCCTTAAGGAGGAGTCCACGGACACCCAAGAGCACCGGTGGGGCTGCCTTTGACAGAGGCAGGGAGGGGGCCGGGCAGCAGCTTGGTGCAGGGCTTCCACAGGTAACTAACAACGGGAACGGTGAACGTTTCCTCAGCGCGCTCCATGCGCCGGGCATCGATTAAGCTTATTTCTTTTCACCTTTACTAAAGCGCAGTGAGACTGGGAGTACGATCGGCCCCGTCTTCCTCAATCACGACCCCCAGGCCCCAGGCTTCTTCAAGCCCTGCCCGGGAACACCGAGGCCTCGCCCACAAGCCCCTTCAACAGTCTTTAAGCTCTGCCCCCAAAGCCCTCCGGCCCCGCCCCCTACAGTATTTGCTTTCCACACTCCACTCCCAATTTGCCCCTTGTGTCCCCAGGCCCGGCCCAAACTCTGTTTTCATCTCAGGGCCTCCCAAACCACCCCACAGGCCTCGCCTCCATACACCTGGCCCTTCAGGTCGCGCCCCCAAGCCCCCCCACCCAACGCACCTCAGGCCCTCCGCGGGGAGGTATAACCTTAGGCCCCTCCCCCGATCGTTCCAGGTCCCGCCCCGATTTCCCCCTGCTCCGGATGCCCCGACTCCCGGGGCGCCTCAGGTCCCCCCAAGTTTCCGCCACGACCCCCAGACCCCGCCCAGCGCACTCAGGCCGCGTACCCAGCACCCTTTGCTCTCCAGGCCCGCCCTCTGACCCCACAGGCCCCGCCCCGGGCCCGCTAGTTACCGCCTTCCCCGGCCGGCGCTCTGCGCTGCCGCGGCGCCGTCCAGAGGCCGGCCGACCGCCCGAGCCCCCAACCCCGCACTCACCGGGCCGGCCTGTGCGTCCAGCCGAGCGGGTGGCCGCAGCCTGCACTTGCCCTAATGCCCCGGCTCCGCCGCCGCCATCTTCCCAGGAGCAAAGATTCGCCCGCGCAGCGCAGCCGCTTCCCAGAGACTTCTGGGACGGCAGCGGCTCCGGCTCCGCCCCTCTTCCAGTATAATTTGCATGCGACCATGGATTCCCAGCAGCCACCTGAGTCATATTTGGTGGAACAAAAAACCACTTTCCCAATTTCAGTGAATGACCCCATTTGGTTAAGGTATTGTTGCACAAATATCATAAAAGAAGGGACGAATGGCTGAGCCGGTTTTTAATGGAGTTCACCCTTAGTGTAAAAGCGTATATTCTATGCCCTCTAAATAGTTCTGGGATCAAAAACATCATCGTGCTCGCTTCGGCAGCACATATACTAAAATTGGAACGATACAGAGAAGATTAGCATGGCCCCTGCGCAAGGATGACACGCAAATTCGTGAAGCGTTCCATATTTTGCCCTTTTTCTTCTGGTATCCGCGGTGTTATAACTGGGTTCCCTAAGCGAGGTTCCCTAACACTTTGAGGGTCCCTCTAGATTCAAACCCCATCCGCAATTCGTTTTCCAAAAATTGGTTCTACTGCTGTCGGACTCTCCCCAGTTTGAAAGGTCTTTTCCAGAAAGACCTAGGATTGCAGGGAAGCGTGCACCGGGTGACCGGCACCGCCTGGGCAAAGGTTGGGGGGCCGGGCTGTCTGGGGGCCCGGCTGGAGTAGCGGGGTGGGGGAAAAAACCCACGCACCAGCCAGGGGCCAGGACAGGACGGAGTTCGCGTTAATAGTTCTGGAGGCAGGCTGTGAACTCCCCTAGAATCCTGACATCCGTGCCCGGAGCCCCAGCCCATTCTCTGGGCGCCGGAAATTTGGTCCCCATCACAGGTGAGAGCCTCGAAGCGGGTTACTCAAGTATCTCCTTGTGTCCTCCGTGCGAGCCCTTGGGATTTCCATTATTTAGCATCTATGTGTAGAACTTTTTAAATGCCTGTTAAAATGGAAGACAGCACACCCAGTGCCCAGATCTTGGTTTTTAAAACGGTGCCCCAGGGAAAGGAACCAGGCTCCTTGGCGAAAGGGCTGGTTCTAGGACGAAGCAAGAATATGCAGAGGAGCCCTCTGCGCCTTGTAGCGGCAGAAAGTAAGGAGGGTGCTCAAATAAATAAATAAAACCCCGCAACTATGGGAGTGCCTCAGTGACACACAGGAGCCACTGACAGGGCTCCCAGCAGCCGAATCTGGAACAACCTGAGGAATAAAATTAAGGAATATTGGATTATAACCCAAACTAGAAAGTAAATGCCCAGGCGTCCGTACTGATATAAATGGTTAAATAAACAAATACACAGGGGAATAGAGACAAATCTCCCCTGTAGAATTTCCAGTAATCAACATAGATACTCCGCCTTCAGGGAGGTGGAGATCAGGGGTGAGGTCAGTAGTGAGGAGCCCTGTGGGCAGCAGGGACCCCTGATGTGGCCGGGTGAGAAGGGAACTTCCCTCAGCGTGATCACAAGAGAACAGCAGATAATCCAGGCTGGGGGATCCTGCAGGATGCACAGCCGTTTCCAGACACACACAGAAGGAAGACACAGGAAGGAGGCCACGTGAAGATGGAGACAGAGGCTGGAGGGATGCAGCCACAAGCCAGGGGAGGCCGGAGCCCCTAGAAGCTGGAAGAGGCAGGGAGGACACTCCCTGGAGCCTCTAGAGGGAGTATGGCCTTGCCACACCTTGATCTTGCATTTCTGGCCTCCAGAACCAGGCGACAATAAACTCCTGTGGTTTTAAGCTGCAGTGTGGTGTGTTTTGTTCAGCCACTCAGGAAGCTCACACAAGTGACTTGTGGGTTTTTTTGGCCATGCCACGGGGCACGTGGGATCTTATTTCCCCAACCAGGGATCAAACCCGCAGTCCTGCCGTGGAAGTGCAGTCTTAACCACTGGACCACCTCCAGGGAAGTCCCACAAGTGACCTTTCTGGAGGTCACACAGCTGGAAGGTGGCAGAGCTGGGGTTTGAGCCTGGGCACCTGGGAGGGGACCAGCCAGGGCAGCAGAGCCAAGGGCCGGGCCACTCCTAGCAGTCTCCCCACATACCTGCCTCCACGGGGGTTGTCGCTCAGAACCAAGCTTCATCCCCTGAGGCCTGCATCCCTCAATGACCAGGACACAAGGGCATCGTGAGTGCCTGTCGTGCCCCCGGCCCTGCCCCAAAGGAAAATCCCACAGCAGCAGACCAGAGCACCAGAAATTTATTGAACGCTCCACCTTTCCCAAAGCACAACTAGCCACACACACGGGGGTGCAGGGCAGGGGTGCAGTCTCCAGCCCTGCTTCCTGTGCCAGGCCAGGGTGACCAGCATGAGGACACCCCAGAGCCAGGCTGGGGGCAGGGGCAAGGGGACATGGAGAGAGGAACAGGACAGTCTGAGAGTAGAGGCTTCTGGCTGGAAGTCCCAGATCCTCAGTATGAAGGAAGGGGGGTGTGTAGAGCAGACGGGGCCCTAACAGCCGCCAAAGGCGAGTGGCGAGGGCAACACACATTCCAAAAAGAGGGTGACACCAGCTTTTAAGACGCAGCTTCCATCCTGGGCTGCGGGGCACACACATGCACACGCGCACGCGCACACACACACACACACCCCAAATGTAATGCTCCCAGGGCGAGGGGCAGGGCCCCAGAGACCCTCCACCCAAGCCAAAAACTGGGAGAGGGTCAAGCAGGGACTGGAATGAAGCCCCCCAATTTATCACTTGGGGCAAGTTTTTGGTTTTTCTTCGCAAAAGGGAAATTTAAAAATCTACAACAAATCACACCAAATTCATTAAAAATGATAAAAACCCAGCCTCTCCCTCCTCGCTTAAGCTTCACACGGGGCCAAAAACGCTGACCCAGGAAGGGACAGGGAAGTGACCAGGCCAGGCATCTCCTCCCGAGTCTAGGCCCCGGGGCGGGAGTAGGGCGAATTGTGCTCGTGCGGGGCAGCCCAGCCTCCAGCTTTAACCCGGAAAGCTGGGCGGGGAAGGGGTGCGGTGCGGGAGCCACCCCAAGGGGAAGAGCACGTTTCCAAGGGAAAATTCTAAAAATAATAAAGATATTTCAGTGATGCTACGGGAGGTCTTGGCACTGGGGAGGCGGGGCCGGGGGCAGGGCCGCCATCAGCTGCGCTGCTCCAGGTACGCGGACAGGAGCAGCCCCGGCGGCAGGAAGTCCAGGTGCCGATTGCTGACCTTCATCTGCCGCTTGCCCTCCAGGTCATCACCTGCCGGGGGACAGGCAAGACAGGGAGGAAGGCGAGGGTTGTGGCACACAGGGGCCCAGCCCTCGGCCTGTCCTGCCCCAGGTCCCCACGAGCTGGGCTGACCCGATCCCCCAGGTCCCAGGCCAGGCGCTGAGAGCAGCTCGAGCTGTTCCTTCCTCTCCCGTTACTTATCCCGTGTCCAACGCGCACAGAGACGCACGCACCACCGAGACACACTGGCCCGAGGCCAAGGGGACTGAACGAGGGTCCCGCCCTGACCCTTGGTCTCCCACCTCCATCCCTGCCCTCAGAGGGAATCACCTAGGCCCCCGGTGGCCCAGGCTCCACCAACCTCCCTTCACCCACCTCCCGCCACCCCAAAACCTGAACCATAGCTATACACAACCCAAGCTGGGCCCGCCTCCCAGCCTCTGGCCCGGCGGCTCCCTTTCCCCTGCTCCCCATCTTGCCAGGCCCCACCTCCTATGTTCAGGCCACGGCTCCACACCCGCAGAGAGGCACCCCCAGTCCAGCCCCTCCATCCTGAGTCAGTGGGAACAAAAGCAAGTGTGGGGGCTGCATCTCCCTCCCAGGCAGCCTGAGAGGAACCATCCTGGGGTTGCCATGGAAACTGTCTCCTCAGCAACTCCAGGCAGGAGGCAGAGAGACGGGCGTGGAGACAGAGGACCCGATGGGATGCCGAGGGCCAGCAAGGGTCTGCGAGGACCCTCCATGGGGGGGCGGGGGGCTGTGTCCCAAGATCACTCCCATCGTAAAAGGGGCACACAGGCTGGAGAAGGGACTTGCCAGAAGTCACATGTGTGGCACAGTGGAGGGGGGCTACAGCTAAATGCGAACTCTGCAGACATTGGGGTCCCTGGAGGCCCAGCTTCATCAGCCCCACACAGGCCCCTCTCTCCCCAGCCCTGAAGATGCAGGTGGAGGGGAGTCTGTGTGCACAGCATCATCCATCGTGGGGCCAGAGGTACAGGCGCTTCTGACGAATCAAGGCAGCATCGCACTGCCACCTCTGTGTTCACGCTGTCCCTCCTCTTCCAAAGCCTGCCACCGGGTAAGCAGACCCCGGGGAAGCCCAGCCTTGGTTTCCCCCAGACTGAATCAGCCAACTGGGGTCCCAGGGGCTGCCAGGCACTTACTGGCTGAGATGAGGTCCATGTACTGGCAGATGGCATGAAGCAGGAGCCTCTCAAAGCTGCAGGGAATGGATGCTGAGTGGCCAGAGCCAGACACCGGGGGAGCTCACGGCACCCACCCCCACCCACCCAGTCACCTGTTGTCCAGCATGGCCGTGTACACGGCCTGGGGGGACACAGAGAAGAACCTCAGCAGCCGCTCCTCCCAGGTCTCCAGCATTTCCTGCAGGAGAGGCAGGCCCAGGGGTCAGGCCGACTGTGGCACCCTAGCCAAGATGTCCAGGCCCCCCACATCCATGACAGCCTCTGGAGCCCAAAGCCCTGGGTTCAAATGTGGCCTCTGACTCACTACATGAGGCTACTTAACCGTTTCCAAGGATACCAGGCACTCAGACACATCCAAACCTTTGAATCTCCGAGTCTTTGGCCTGGTGAACTCCTACACATCCTTCAAAACCCACCTTCATTGCCCCTGTCCCTCCCACCCTCAAGGAGAACCCTTGCCCAGCCCTGGGTCCTGCACTCGGATCTCACTAGTCTATATCCTGCCCTGTCTGCTCCATCACACCACGTTCACTGGGTTACTGGTCTCCCCTCACCCTGCCCCTGATTGAGAAGCTGAGAAAAAGGGCCTTCAAAAGAGACCAAGCAAGTGGAAAGAGACAAGGCCAAGGCCAGGCTTGGTACTCACCATGGGAATACGGCTCCGCTTGAGAACGGCTCGTAGACGCCGGCTGATACGCTGGAAGCACTCGCGGGGCGTGTAGGCCGGGTCCT